GATGAGGTCTCGCTGCCCAGGCGGGTCTTGAACCTGCGGACTCAGGCAATCCACTCACCTTAGCCTCCCAAAGGCGCGGGATTACAGGCTGTGCCACCAAGCCCGGCTGCCAGCTGTTCTTGAACCCCTTGTCTCAAGTGATGCCCACTGCCTCAGCCTCCCAAAGTACTGGGATTACAGGTGTGGACCACCACACCTAGACAACTCTTTTTTTTATTATTTATTTTTATTTTAAATTTTATTTATTTATTTATTTATTTGAGTTGGAGTATCACTCTGTCACTCAGATTGGAGTGCAGTGACCACTCCTGGCCACTGCAGCCTCATCCTACTGGGCTCCAGCGATCCTTCTGCCTCAGCCTTCCAAGTATCTGGAACTACAGGCGTGCACTACTACACCTGGCTAATTTTTGATTTATTGTAGAGCTGAGGTCTCACCAGGTTGCCCAGGCAGGTCTCGAACCCACGGGCTCAGGCAATTCACTCACCTCGGCCTCCCAAGGCCAGCTTTTTTTTTAATAAATAGAAGGAGTGTATTCTAAAATAAGGATAAAAAATATAGTATAGTAAATACATAAACCAGTAACGGTCATTTATCATCATTATAAAGTATTATATACTATACATAGTCATATGTGGTATACTTTTATGTGATTGGCAGTGAAGTAGGTTTATTTATACCAGCATCACCACAAACATGAGTAATGTGGTACAGTGGGAAGTTTCAATGGCTGCAGTGGCTGTGATGTCACCAGGCAGTAGGAATTCTTCAGCTCCATTATAATTTTATGGGACCACCATCATACATGTGGCCCATCATTGACAAAGATGTTATTATATGGTGCATGACTACATATTTCTATATTTATCTGTCTGTAGCAGGAACTGGGGCCTGAGTAGTCCAGTGACAACCATAATAAGCAAGTTCTGTGGAGTCAGAACTAGGACCCTGGCATCCTGACTCCCAGCTCAGGGCTTTTTCTGCTTCACAGTCCCTGCCCTGCCGCATGCAGAGCTGAGTTGTTCCACTCTCAGGAAGGCCTCTCTAAAGAGGTTGTATTTGAGCTGAGGCCTAACCACTGAGAAAGAGGCAGCTGTGGGAGGGTCGAGGGGAAGAGCATCCCAGCACAGAGGGAACAAGAAGAAAGACTCCAAGGGGCCAGCAATGAGTCGCTCTATTAGGAGGAGAAAAAAGCCAGAGTGGTAGAGCTAGGGTGAGAGCAGGAGGAGGTAGAGGGGGAGAAGCCTGCCTAAGCTATGATGCAAGACTTCCTAGGCCAGGGAGGGCATTTGGATTTTACTCTAAGGCAGTGGGAAGACATTGGGGAATTTTTCTTTATTAACTTACGGCAGGTCAGGCACAGTGGCTCACGCCTATAATCCCAGCACTTTGGGAGGCCAAGGTGAGAGGACTGCCTGAGCCCACGGGTTCAAGACATCCCTGGGCAACTTGGTGAGACCTCATCTGTGCAATAAATCAAAAAATTAGCTGGGCCTGGTGGCACATACTTATAGTTCCAACTACTTGAAAAGCTGAGGCAAGCCGGGCCCAGTGGCTCAGCCTGTAATCCCACGCTTTGGGAGGCTGAGGTGAGTGGATTGCCTGAGTCCTCAGGTTTGAGACCCGCCTGCGCAACTTGGTGAGACCTCATCTCTACAATAAACCAAAAAATGAGCTGGGCGTGGTAGCGCGTGCCTGTAGTTCCAGCTGCCTGGAAGGCTGAGGCGGAAGGATCGCCGGAGCCCAGCACGTCGAGGCTGCAGTGGCCAGGAGCGGCTACTGCACTCCAGTCTGGGCAACAGAGTGAGACTCCAACTCAAAAA